CACCCAGTCGTTCACACTCCCGGCCTCTCCGCAGCAGAATGGGGTTGCTGAGCGCCGCATTGGTCTTGTCATGGAGGTCGCTCGTACCTCCATGATCCATGCGGCTGCCCCCCATTTCCTGTGGCCGTTTGCAGTGCAGTACGCCGCGCGTCAGCTCAACCTCTGGCCCCGAGTCTCTGTTCCAGAGACCTCGCCTACCCTGCGTTGGACGGGGGAGGTTGGCGATGCGTCGGTGTTCCGCGTCTGGGGATGTCGAGCCTTTGTCCGCGATACGTCCGCGGACAAGCTCTCCTCCCGTGCTGTTCCCTGTGTCTTCCTTGGCTTTGTCCCTGACGCGCCTGGCTGGCAGTTTTACCACCCCACCTCACGCCGGGTCTTCGCCTCTCAGGACGTCACCTTTGACGAGTCGGTACCCTTTTACCGTCTCTTCCCCTACCGCACTGCCCCGCTCCCCCCTCCGCCGCTCTTCCTCACGCCAGGTGCTGCTTCGGTAGACCCCCTGCCTCCCCAGGGTGCTGCTCCCTCAGGTGTTTCCCAGGTAGACCCGGTTGAGCCTGTCGAGGTAGCTGTTGACTCTGGTCCTGTGCGAGGTGCTGAGCGTGCTGAGCCTGGTGGTGCTGGGCCTGGGGGCGCTGAGCCTGGGGGTGCTGGGTCTGGGGGCGCTGAGCCTGGGGGTGCTGAGACTGCGGGTGCTGGGCCTGGGGGTGCTGCGACTGGGGGTGCGGAGACTGTGGGTGCTGAGCCTGGAGGTGCTGCGACTGGGGGTGTTGCGCCTAGAGGCACTGAGGCTGGGGGCTTTGAGACTGACCGTACTGCGCCTGCTGGCGCTCCTTCTTCACAGCAGCTGCGTGAGTGGTACTCCCAGCGTTGCAGCCTCCGTCGTGGGGCTCCTGGAGCTGGGGGGTCTGCTGGAGTTGGGGCTAGTCGTCCTGCGGGTGCCGTGTCGCAGCCGGAGCCTCCCTCCCCTCAGCGGCTGCGTGAGTGGTACGCTCGGCGCTGCAGCCTCCGGAGTGGAGCTCCTGGTGTTGAGGTACCGCCCGCTGGAGACCCTACCGCTGCTGGAGGTCCTGGAGCTCCTGGAGGTGCTGCTGGTGCTGCTGGAGGTGCTGGAGGTGCTGCTGGAGCTGCTGGAGGTTCTACTGGAGCTGTTGGAGGTTCTGCTGGAGCTGCTGGAGGTACTGGAGGTGCTGGAGGTGCTGCTGGAGCTGCTGGAGGTTCTGCTGGAGCTGCTGGAGGCACTGGAGGTGCTGGAGGTGCTGCTGGAGCTGCTGGAGGTTCTGCTGGAGCTGCTGGAGGTTTTGGTGCTGTCTCTGCTGCTGCTGGGGGCACTTCACGGCCGCGGCCGTACTTCGTTCCACTCCTTCAGCAGGTTCTTGGTCAGCCGCCTCCTCCTAGTCCTCCCCCCTCCGTAGAGTGTCCTCCGCCTGTCCAGTCGCAGTCACAGCTACCGCCTGCCTCGCCGCTTCCTGGTCCTCCTCCCTACACTGGTCCGACAGGCGGTCTTACAGAGCGTCGTGAGCCTGAGTCTCGTCCTGTGTCGCCTGTGTCCCGTCCGGTGTCACCTGTTCGTACTGCTTGCGCTAGTCGCCGTGTACCACGTGAGCGTCCGCCACCTGTCCCTGGCACACACCGGATGTCACTCCGTCCCTCCACTGCTCCACAGCGTGTCCCTCTGCCGTCTCCTCCTCCGTCCTCTCTTCCTGCCCTTGCTGACCCGGAGTCTTACTCCGTTCGTGCTGCCAGTCCTACTGTCACGCGTCTCCTGGCCACTGCTGTCACTGACCCTTCCTTTGAGTCGACTGCTGCGTCTGCCCTAGTTGCTGAGCTTGTCGACTTTGCTGCTCGCTGTCGTCTAGACTACGCTGCCAGTCTTGTTGCTGAGTCTGAGTCTGTTTGTCCTCCGTCCGTCGGGGGTGAGTGTGCTCTAGGCACGGACGTCCTTGAGGACAGACAGGAGGACCTTGAGTGTCTTGCAGCCGCTGCGCCCCATCTCGTGTCCATGCTGATTGCCCCTGAGGGAGACCCGGATGCACCAGACATCCCGACTCCTCGATCGTACGCTGAGGCGATCGAGGGTCCCTACTCCTCATAGTGGCAGTCAGCCATGGATGCAAAGATGGCTTCCTGGAAGTCCACAGGCACCTACGTCGACGAGGTTCACCCACCTGGGGCGAACATCGTCAGTGGCATGTGGATTTTCAGGGTGAAGCGGCCGCCGGGTTCTCCGCCTGTCTTCAAGGCTCGTTACGTTGCTCGAGGCTTCAGTCAGCGAGAGGGAGTAGACTTCTTTCAGACCTTCTCCCCCACCCCGAAGATGACCACTCTTCGGGTACTACTGCACGTTGCTGCTCAGCGTGATTACGAGCTTCACTCTCTTGACTTCAGCACAGCTTTCTTGCAGGGCAGTCTGCACGAGGAGATCTGGCTGCGCCGCCCTCCTGGCTTCACTGGGTCGTTTCCTCCTGGTACCCAGTGGAGCCTCCGGCGGCCGGTCTACGGTCTCCGCCAGGCACCACGTGAGTGGCACGACACACTGAGGACTACTCTTGCGGCACTTGGGTTCGCTCCTTCTACTGCTGACCCGTCGCTGTTTCTACGCACCGACACTTCGCTGCCGCCGTTCTACATCCTCGTGTACGTCGACGACTTGGTCTTTGCCACTGCTGACACTGAGGCTCTCGCCCACGTGAAGTCGGAGCTGCAGAAGAGACACACGTGCACAGACCTGGGTGAACTGCGCAGCTACCTTGGCTTGCAGATCACCCGGGACAGAGCACGCCGCACCATTACCCTGACTCAGTCACACATGGTGCAGCAGGTCCTTCAGCGCTTCGGCTTCACCTGGTCCTCAGCACAGGCCACTCCTCTGGCTGTAGGTCACTCGCTCTCAGCTCTGCCTTCGGATGAGTTCGTAGAGTCGAGTGGTCCTTACCCAGAGCTAGTTGGTTGCCTCATGTACCTGATGACTTGCACTCGTCCTGACCTAGCATACCCTCTTGGCCTTCTGGCCCGCTACGTGGCTCCTGGCAGGCACCGAAAGGTGCACTGGGATGCTGCAAAGAGGGTCTTGCGCTACTTGTGCAGTACATCGGGCATGGGGCTCATGCTTGGAGGAGGGAGCTCAGTTGTTCTCACTGGGCACTCAGACGCTTCTTGGGTTGACGACCAGGCTACTCAGCGGTCGTCACAGGGTTACACCTTCAGCCTTGGCTCTGGCTCAGTTTCGTGGCGCTCTACGCGTTCGTCTTCAGTTCTCAGCTCCAGTTGTGAGGCTGAGATCTACGCCACAGCCATGGCTGCACAGGAGTTACGCTGGCTCACCTACCTGCTGACCGACCTGGGAGAGCGGCCTAGTTCTCCTCCAGTGCTGTACGTCGACAACAAGGCTGCCATTGCCTTGTGTGAGGAGCACAGACTGGAGCACAGAACGAAGCACATCGCTCTCCGTTACTTCCTTGCTCGAGAGCTGCAGCAGCGCGGTCAGCTTCGTCTGCGTTACGTGGCCTCTCAGGCCAACACCGCTGATATATTCACCAAGGCACCTCAGCCTGGTGATCATCAGCGCTTCTGCACTTTGCTGGGGCTGGTGCCCACTTTTCCTCACTTGTTGTAGGCTTTACCCGTACTGTGATCTCTATATATATACTCCTGCCTGTCTGCTCTGCTAGGTTGAGATCACCCTTGTTGTTTGTGCTGCATATATACTTCTGCATGTGAACTGGCCATGTGGCCCTTTGCTTGTGCTCGGAATGTGTGGTGACGTTGTGATCCACCCTGAGCTTGCTTGCCTCTCTTGACTGGTCTTGTGACCCCTTGCTCTCCCCCACTTTGCCTATGGGGGTGTGTCAAACACTATATGTGTTATTGTTGTGTAGGCTATAGTGGGTTAGCCTTTAGGGGGTACACAAAGCTTAGGTTTTCTACTTGTACTCCAACTTTTCATCGTTCAATCACTTCTCATTCTTGACAGAAACTGGAGGACAATGAACTGGGGTTGATTTTTCACGTGCCCGTTTAGCCAAACGTGTGTTCTTCTTCTCATGCACAGTGAATGTGCGACATTTGCGATTGTAACGAACGACACCGTACCTCGTTACTGATTCTGGATTCGTTTAAGAGCTACGTCGTCATATCGGGTAACCTAAAAAATTGGGGCACGACTCGGGTTTTACTGTATAAAGTCCAACTCCTAAAGTCGAACTTTGTTGTGCCTTGTGATTTTCGATAGAAAAAAATCGCGATTTGGGACCCACAAGTTGAGATACTCGAGTACAGGTCGACCTAAGTTCAAACGTAAAAAATCGGCTAAAAACATGAACTTTGCAAAACATTTCAAAAGACAAGCGCCCTAAGAAAATATCCACTCCCAGATGAGCAGTGCGAAACCCCCTTCTGGGAGGCTGGCGGAACTCGCCGGCACTGGGGTTTGATCCTGCAACCTCATCCTTCGGAAGTTACATTCTACTTGACTGGGCCAGCTCTAATCCTCGCAATGTGTCCCCCCGATCCAGATCCAGATCTGGTTCCTCTAGAACCTTCACAGCACCAGCTTCTCTGCCACAAAACTATAGCGCTACTTTCTCGTAAACTTTGGATCTGTGGACGTCAATCCTGCGCTACTTTGAGCAGGCTCCCTTTCACCGACATCTCACAGGCCTACGGTAAGTTTGCTAGCTCCCAACTTCTTCTCTTTGTGCAGTCTTTTCTGCTTCTTTGCTGCTGCAGGTATCTGCTGCTGCTTTCTGCTTTCCCCTCCTTTTTCTTGCTTCCTAGGACACATGCACCAACGCGGTTTTCAGCGCAAACCTTCGTTTCCCTCTGCCTCACTGCTATCTGCCTATTTCTCAACCACGGTTTATAGACTGTACATCTCACGCTGCTGCGCCTGCAACTCTCCTCCTACCCCCGTCCTACCTCTCCTCTCCCTGTCCTCCCTAAACCGAACTCTGCTTCCCCCCCCCCCCCCCCCCCCCCTTGGCCATTTGCTTGGCTCACAGGCAATGCGCACAGCTCTTCTAACCCCCCCAGCCCACCTCCTCTCTTCTTACCCTCCTTTCCTCGAACACCCCATCTCTTCCTCAGGCCTGTTTCTACGCTCATGTGTTGCAAATGCAGCGCTCCCAGCTGCCCCTCCCCACAGATACCCCCCCTGTCCTTCCTGCCCAGTGCTCGGCCTCCGTTCCCTCTTCGGCCAGCCGTTTGGCCTTTTGGCTATGCTTGTACCCCCCTTCCTACCCCTGACCCGCCTCTATTTTCCCTGCCCTCTCTACCTCACTCTCTGTCCCACCTCTCTCTCACTCCAGCCTCCTTGACTATGGGCAGTGACTGCAGCCCTCCTCTCACCCCCAACCATTCTCTACCCTCCTTGTTCCCCCTACCCCGCGGGCGACCCCACTTCCTCCTCTGGCCAGCCGCTCGGCTAATGGACCGCGCTTACAACCCTCCTCTGTACCCTAACCCACCTATTTCCCCCCAACCATCCTCACCTGAAACCTTGATCCACCGCTCCCTCAGGACTACGTCTGGGCCTATTGATTGTGCCTGCATCCCTCCCTTTCCCCCATCCTGCCTCTTCCTATGCCCCACCTCCCCCCTAGGCTTGGCTTCATGCACCCGCCCCGCATTTGCAAAGTGCTCCTGCCCCCCAGCCTGGCCCTTCCCTCGCTGCCCCTCCTCCCCCGCTTTCAGCCCATAATTCCCCCATGGGCAGGTTCTCCACGCCACCGTACGCTTTTCCTATTTCCTGGTCACCCCGCCTACGTCATAACTATCTTTTTCGGCTTTAAATCGGATTCATACCCCATCCTCAACTCATTTTAGGCCCCCGATCTATTTGCTATCCGCCCTTCACTAGAGAAACTTCTCTCCGTATCTATCCTTGTGGCCTCTGATAATGACCAAGCTGCCTTTGTCAATAGTGCTTGCTCTAGAATCTTCTATGCTGCTTATCTCTTTGACTCGGGATGCCACCTAAACACCCAGTCGACCCGGGGTCGCAATGGCCACTGCCTATGCACCCGTTTCCCTCTACCCTCTTCCATGTGCTCGGGAACAGCCCCACCATGCTCGTCCACCGAGTACTTTTCCCACCTTCCCTCCCCTTTTCCAAATCGCCCTCCGTTGCGTTTTCCCCTTCCTATTCTCTACATCGCCCTCCGCTGTCTTTCCCCACCTGTCATGGCTGCTCAGCGTCACAACCCAGATGAGGAGATGGCCCTCGCTGACGACGAGCTGCAGCTTGACGCCAAGAACTCCAACTGGAAGACCTTCCTGACGACGCGCTCCTTGCAGGCCCTCCTACTGACGGCACCCCTGCTCCGAAGAAGCTGTGCACTGAGGGAGGCGGTTCTGCCACCGTCCCTGGCTCATCCTGCTCAGCACCCCACGCTCTGAATACCCCAACCCCGATGCCCAACGCGTACGCTCTGCCAGCTGCGCCCCTCGCAACTGCTCCGGCGGTCTCTCCTCCCTCCGCGCCCCCCCCCATCCCACCTGCATATGCGGCTCCCTCTACTGCCCCTGCTGCCTCTTCGTCTGAAGCAGATCCGCCACGCCAGCTCGCTCCTGTTGCTGTTGGTGGTGACCCCGAGGACCAGACGGACCACGTGGAAATCCCTGCCATCTTGCATAACCTCCGCCGCCAGCGCGCGGTGATTTCGATCCTCGTTATGCCTCGCTGGAGGCTTGCGGTGGTGGACATTCTCTTCCCTGAAGCGGGAGCGGAGGCCATCCGCGCCAACCTGATCACACGCATTTCGAGGCACCTGCAGCCGTTTCATTTCCGTAACAACGCCATCCCTGAGTTCCAGCCTTCGGTTGGAGAAGTGCTTCGCATTCCCCGCCGTGCCTACGCACGCCTTCACTTCTCCTGGCCTTCTCAGGACAACGCCGACGACTTCAAAGGCCTCTCCCCGCTCACGTTCCACCTCCCCAACTCCCGCTCAATGTTGCTGAAAGTTTACGTTGACCGCTACCCGCGTTTCACCTCGGCTAAGGCAGGAGGTGCTGCCACGCTGACCCTTCGCAACGTCCCACCGGGTTACACCCCGGAGGACCTCCACACCTTCCTGATGCACCAGAACGTCGCGGGCGAACCTTCATGGCTTACGGACCTCCAGATTTTCCACCAGGTCAAGGACCCGTATGAGGACGTATATCTCCCCATTTTCACTGGAATCCCGCTCCCCTTGCAGGATGATCCTGGTTTCCTCCGCATCCCCCCTGGCTCTGCTCAACATCTCTTCCCATGTGTGCTCCTTCTGCAGCAATAATTACCGCAACGCTGACCACGAAATCTTCCCCACCAAGCGCAGGCAGCACTTGACCAACAAGCAGCAACTCTCGGTCGCCCAGATGCAGCAAGCCAAGAGTAAGCCTGTCCCCCCTGGTCGTTGTCGCAAACCCTATTCCTATCCGGCTGTTCTGGCTTTACCCGTGTTACCCACCTTCTCCTCGCTTGCCACCATAATCTGCCCCCTTGCTGCCCTCCCCACTTCGGTTTTGGCCCCATTTCTATCTCAAGACAGCTCCTTGGCTCACAGGTTGTGCTTGCAACCCCCCCCCTACACCATACCCGACTCCACCCTCCATGCTCTCCGTACCCCACCCTCCGCTCCACTTTCCTTGCAGGACAATTTTCTGGTTCATGAGCTGCGCCTGCAACTCTCCTCCTACCCCCGTCCTACCTCTCCTCTCCCTGTCCTCCCTAAACCGAACTCTGCTTCTTCCCCCCCCCCCCCCCCCCCCCCCACCCTTGGCCATTTGCTTGGCTCACAGGCAATGCGCACAGCTCTTCTAACCCCCCCAGCCCGCCTCCTCTCTTCTTACCCTCCTTTCCTCGAACACCCCATCTCTTCCTCAGGCCTGTTTCTACGCTCATGTGTTGCAAATGCAGCGCTCCCAGCTGCCCCTCCCCACAGATACCCCCCCTGTCCTTCCTGCCCAGTGCTCGGCCTCAGTTCCCTCTTCGGCCAGCCGTTTGGCCTTTTGGCTATGCTTGTACCCCCCTTCCTACCCCTGACCCGCCTCTATTTTCCCTGCCCTCTCTACCTCACTCTCTGTCCCACCTCTCTCTCACTCCAGCCTCCTTGACTATGGGCAGTGACTGCAGCCCTCCTCTCACCCCCAACCATTCTCTACCCTCCTTGTTCCCCCTACCCCGCGGGCGACCCCACTTCCTCCTCTGGCCAGCCGCTCGGCTAATGGACCGCGCTTACAACCCTCCTCTGTACCCTAACCCACCTATTTCCCCCCAACCATCCTCACCTGAAAACTTGATCCACCGCTCCCTCAGGACTACGTCTGGGCCTATTGATTGTGCCTGCATCCCTCCCTTTCCCCCATCCTGCCTCTTCCTATGCCCCACCTCCCCCCTAGGCTTGGCTTCATGCACCCGCCCCGCATTTGCAAAGTGCTCCTGCCCCCCAGCCTGGCCCTTCCCTCGCTGCCCCTCCTCCCCCGCTTTCAGCCCATAATTCCCCCATGGGCAGGTTCTCCACGCCACCGTACGCTTTTCCTATTTCCTGGTCACCCCGCCTACGTCATAACTATCTTTTTCGGCTTTAAATCGGATTCATACCCCATCCTCAACTCATTTTAGACCCCCGATCTATTTGCTATCCGCCCTTCACTAGAGAAACTTCTCTCCGTATCTATCCTTGTGGCCTCTGATAATGACCAAGCTGCCTTTGTCAATAGTGCTTGCTCTAGAATCTTCTATGCTGCTTATCTCTTTGACTCGGGATGCCACCTAAACACCCAGTCGACCCGGGGTCGCAATGGCCACTCCCTATGCACCCGTTTTCCTCTACCCTCTTCCATGTGCTCGGGAACAGCCCCACCATGCTCGTCCACCGAGTACTTTTCCCACCTTCCCTCCCCTTTTCCACATCGCCCTCCGTTGCGTTTTCCCCTTCCTATTCTCTACATGGGCAGGTTCTTTGCCCCCATGGGCATCGCATGAGCTTCCTACATTTCCTTAATCTCTTGCTGCCCCTTGACTCCCCACCCCTTCCAGGCCAAGTGCTCGGCTCCCGCGCCGCGCCTGCAGCCTTCCGCAACGACCCGGGCTGCTCTACATTGGTCTCGACGCGGACGTCGAGCCATGGACTTGTGCCCTGTGCAACCTGACTTGTGGCGCCGCTCTCGACTCGGCTATGGCCCACATCGCTTCCGAGCTGCACGCCGCAAAGAAGATCTCTGCAGCCCACCTCCCTGCCGCAAAGGAAAAGTACACCGGGTGGAAGGCAGTGGCCTTCGTTGCTCTTCCTTAGATCGCCGACTTTCTTGCTCAGATTTAGAATGGTGGTTACTACACAGTCTCACGCTGATACATCTGCTATGGTGTTGCTTTCACTCTGCTGCGCTTAGAAATGTATCACAATCCCTGCTATCTTGCTACGGCCTTCGTTGCTACCCCCCAGGCTGCCGACTCCCCTGCCCAGCTGCAGGTCGGTGGTTGAGAGACTTCTCCATGCATTTATCTTTGTTTTGTTGCCTTAACTCTGTTGTTTTCAACACAAGTGTACGCTGCTTTATATCTTGCTACTTGCTTCTGCTCCACTTGCACTTTAACCTAACGGATAAGAACAGTATAATTCTCTATAAATCAGCCCGTGGATTCGCTCACCGTGGTGTGCGATGGGCTCTAACTTATCCATCATGATAACCCACCTTAGAATCCTATGCATTAACATCAACGAAATTAGCGCCCCTTTCAAAATGAAAGCTCTTACAGGATGGCTCAATTTCTTCGGTAGGAATATCGACATCGTTGTACTATTCGATACCCGCCTCACCGACAATGTGAAAAGGCTAGACCTTCGTTTTCGCCCTCATGCCTTTGCCCACACCATGGCCCGCTACTGCAACACCCCCTCGTCTAGCGCACGCCCTCCCCTGGAGGCATCTCTATTCTCGTGCTTAACAAGTCAATCTCTCTTACCTCATACACACCGTCAACAGATGTGCGTCTTCTCGCTGTCGATGTCAACTTCTATCACGAGCAGATAAGGCTCATATCTATTTACGCACCGCCTCATGCTATCGACAGACGCCCATGGTGGCGCAGCAGGCTCTCTGGGCTACCAGCGGCAGAGCCCCGGACTACAGGTGCTGCGGACGACAAGACGGCAGCCTCCGCTCAACCTCCCCCAACTGTCCCACACCCCTCTCACACACCCACTGCTGCACCCCTAGCTCCACTACCACGGCACCCCCCTAGCGCCACTCCCCTCGGCTCCCACACATCCACCCCCCTCAGCGGCAGCTGCAGCAGTGGGAGACGGAGGAGGAGAAGGAAGGGACGACGCACACGTATCACCCCCACACCCGCCACCCCCACACCCTCCTGTCCAGGGGACCGGGGGGGGGGGGCGGTAGAGCAGGACAGAGCGCGAAGTGGCCGCGAAGTGGCCGCGACGTGGCCGCGACGGGGCCGGGGCGAGGCCGCGAAGTGGCCGCGACGGGGCCGGGGCGAGGCCGCGAAGTGGCCGCGACGGGGCCGGGGCGAGGCCGCGAAGTGGCCGCGACGGGGCCGGGGCGAGGCCGCGAAGAGGGGTCACGAAGGGGCCGCGAAGGGCCGCGACGGGCAGCAGGAGCAGGACAGGGCCGGCGCGCTGCTGCAAAGCAGGCGCGGGTGCAGGTGAGGCAGAGGCGGCGGCCAGGGGGGGGTGCGCCGCGACGAGCAGGGACGGCGCCCAGGGGGCGCCGCGACGAGCAGGGGCGGCGCCCCAGGGGCGCCGTAACGAGCAGGGGCGGCGTCCAGGGGGCGCCGCGACGAACAGGGGCGACGCCGCGCGGGTCCCGCAGGGGCGTCGCGACGAGGCAGCGGGGGTTGCGGGGCGACGCGACGGGCTCCCGGGGGGCGACGCGACTGTTGACGGGGGGGGGACGCGCGGGTCCCCGGGGTGGCACGTGAAGCAGGAAGCCGCCACGCGCCTCGGGGCGCACGGCGGGCAGAAAACCGCCACGCGCCCCGAGCGCGTGGCGGGAAGAAAAAAACGTCGCGCGACAGACGGGAAAGCAGCGGAAGCACGTGGGGCCCACAGGCCAAGAGCGTAACAGCTCTGATTCCATGTGAAGATAGTAGCTAAGGCTAAGAAGCCATGGCTAGGTTTTAGGGTATATGAAAGAGAAATAGGAGAAGAAGTGGATTGAACTAGAAAGGAGGGGGATACAAGTAGCAAGCCCAAAAGGGTTATACTCACTTTTGAGTACCCCACTACAGACTAGACAAGCATTATAATCTGACAGTACCACCACCCGCCTCCCGATTGGACCGGATGTACATCTCCACCTTCCTACATAATTGACTTGCAGCTTCCCCTTACCTCCTCACCCCCCTCATCATATCCGATCACTTCTACGCTCCACTATGCTCCATAGCGTTCGAGCTCCCCTCCAGAGCCCCCCGTCCATGGAGGCTCAGCCCATCCCTCCTTTCCCGTCCGTTCATAGCTAAGGTTTTGGAAGACCTCATCCCTGCCTTCCCTCCCTCCCCGTCTCCGGAGGACTGGGATGATGGAAACATGCCCTCACGCTCCGCCTCAAAAGGTTTTCCAACCAGGAAAGACGTCGTGTACACAAGACACTTGAGCATCTACATCACCTTATGAACCATCTCCAACTCCAATCCGCAGTCTCCCGATTATACTCAAAGTCAGCCGCACGCCTGTGCAAGGCCCAGCAGCAGCTTGCGAGATACACTACCGCTAAAGCCGCTGAACTTGCTCTCAAAGCTAAACTCGAGGTCGAGGGCCATCGTAAGATGGGAATTTCATCTCTTCTCGTAGGAACTAACTCCCGCATTAAAGCCTCCCTTATCTCTTCCCTCACCCTGCCTAGTGGACAAACTATTAGCGACCTCTCCTCCATGACCACTGCCTGTTCTAGCTTCTTCAAATCCCTTTACTGCGGCATCCCGACCGCCTCCCCAAATCCCAACTTTTGGCAGCACATGCCTCGCTCCTCCCCCCCCGTACCCTTGCCTCCGCACTCGCAGCCCCCTTCTCCCTTCTCGAAGTTGGCACAGCCCTAGGTCAGCTTTCGTGTGGAAAGACCCCAGGCCCAGATGGACTCCCTGGAGAACTATTCAGGCTATACAAACTCCGCTTTGCTCCGGCCTTTCTGGCCCTCCTGGCCCTGCCCTCCCTGCCCCCCTCCCTGCCCCCCTCTATGCTCTCCGGTCGGACGGTGCTCATCCCCAAAAAAGAGGACGAATCCCTAATAGACAGTTTTCACCCCATCATCCTCATGAATCCAGATTACAAAGTCCTAGCTCTCTGCTTGGCTAACCGACTCCAACGCCTCCTTCCTCTCGTTATACACCCTTCTCAAACGGCCTTCATCAAGCACCGCAAGATAGGTGACACGATTAATGACACGTTGGATATCATAGACTGGGCTACTTTCACAAGCACACCCCTCCTTGCCTTGATGGTGGACTTTCGTAAGGCCTACGACCTGCTGGACCGGCCTTTCTTATTTCAGGCTATCTCCCACCTTGGTGTCCCAGAGAGCTTCATCCAGTGGATCCTGTTAATGGGAGTGGAGTGTTGGCCCCGCCCTTGCTTGGGCAACACCGACGACTTGGTCGGATGTACGGGAGTAGCAGCCGACCGTTCACAGTGGGAGAGCTGCTCGACAGGCTTCGTCGAGTTGCAGGGGACCGCTGTGGTGTTGCTGTCGACCAGGGAGCTCGACAGCTGCAACTGACTGGCCTGGGCAACGGGTGGGTCGTTGACCAGGAGGGGCAGTTCGACCGGAAGGTCGACGGAGCAGGCCGTCGACCTGCAGCTCGATCGGGAGCAGTCCGTCAACCTGCAGCTCAACCGGGAGGTCAACGGAGCAGTCCGTCGACCTGACGAGTGAGCAGCGGTCGACGAGGGGAGCTTGGCGACAACTACTGACTGTTCTGGTCGACGGAAGGGGTCCGTCGACCAGGGGGTAGCTCGACTGGAGCTGTGGTCGACCAGGGGCACCTGGTGGTCGACCAGAGGGACCTGGTGGTCGACCAGAAGCAGTGGTGGTCGACCGAAGGAACTAAGCAAAGTTACGATCACTCCTAGTAGTTTGTGCCAACCCCCGTGGTTGTGCCCCCTTTCCGGTGCGTACTGGCGTCCGGCAAGGCTGTCCACTTGCCCCCCTCTTGTTCATCTGCACCATTGAGATTATGCATCGTTACATGTTCTTATACCTCCCTGGCTTCCCCCTATCGCCTACAAACAAGCGCCTCATGGCCTGCTACGCTGACGATGTTACAATCTTCCTTTCGTCACACAAAGAGCTCGAAATTGCCACTACCCACCTACTGATCTTTGGGTCAGTCTCTGGCGACCGCCCCAACTGGAATAAATGTTCCATCATCCCCTTCAATGTTTCGGACCGCCTCATTACGCACGCAAGGCAGATCCCTATCCGAGCTTCTAATGAAGCTGAACGAAATCTTGGAAATTTGTCGAGAAAAACTTATCCAACACCACCAGGGCTGATTTTATCAGGGTAATTACCCTGATTTCAGGGTGATTTCAGACTTCTCACCTTGTGGTCCCTGCAATTTCAGAATTTACGCCTTGTGAACACTGATCCATTCAGACTAACGCTTTAGCGGGCCCTGAAATTTTGTATACACGCTCAGAGTAGTCTTCTTACGGACTCTGTCATTACAGAGTACGAGTTCTGTGGACCCCGCGAATGAGACATTATCGAGAGGAAGTTTCTCCGAAATTTCGTCTCGATAACCTCGCCTTCGGATTGATCGCATCGCAGCACCCCCCATGTGCGGAATCCCCCTTCCCCCACTTTATCGAAACGAAACTTCTCGGAAATTTCGTCTAAATACACCCACCCACCATCGAGATCGGCCGAATCTGCAATGCCAGATATATGTTGCTGTGATTGGTCGAAATGGTTGTGCTCTGACAGCGGCTGTTGTGCCAGGGCCATTTCTCTGTGATTGGGCGAATCTGTTGCTCTGTACTGTACGGCGCGAATGCCATTTGTCAACGCGAATTTGCTACAGTTTGACGCTGGTGCTGTGATGTGACCAGTCAACTCGGGTCCAAATCACCAGTCACATACAGTGCGCAACCAGAAATCTGAAGAACGAACGGTCGTCCAATTTGATTGGTCATCAAATCCACACAAGATCTTCTAAATATCCGAACCATACCAAGTTTCGATAATGCACAGCGCGTTACTAACCCTGATCCTGACTTCTCAACCCTGAGCAATCAGACTATAAAACTTCCCAACACTGAGCAATCAGGGTGAT